GCCAGAACCTGACCTAAGAGATCTTTTGGTATACATTGGTTAAATAAGCAAATGTCTGTACTATTGCTGATACTACATGCCATACCTGGATAAATTCCGCTGGGAAAGTCAATACCAATATACACAAAGTAAGAAAACAGGCCACATGGTTAAAACAGATCTCACCTAATTCCTTAGGATCATTTGATTCATTCGATGGGTTACTGATGTGGTTTGGCTGTGTCCCTACCCAAATCTCATCTTGAATTGTAGTTCCCACAATTCCCACTTGTTATGGGAAGGACCCGGTGGGAGATAATTGAATCATGGGGGCGGTCTCCCCCATGCTGTTTTTGTGGTAGTGAAGAAGTCTTAGGAGATCTGATGGTTTTATAAGGGGTTTCTCCTTTGGTTTGGCTCTCATTCTGTCTTGCCTACCACCATGTAAGATGTCTCTTGCTCTTCCAGCATCATTGTGAGACCTCCCCAGCCAAGTGAAACTATGAGTCAATTAAACCTCCTTCCTTCATAACTTACCCAGGCTCAAGTATGTCTATGTTAGGAGCATGAGAACAAACTAATACAGTTGTCTTTAAGTCTAGGTTCATGGATCAAAACTATTATGCAAACCATATTTTCCATTTTTAAACTTTTTATATGCTACTTGCTAAATTTTTGCGGAAGTACAACTTGTAACCATAATGCTAGCCCATCATTTTGAGATAATAGCAAGACTGTGGAAGCCACAAAATTGAACTTAATAATGGACTCAAGATAGACTTAACCTGAGAGTCACTCCTTTCAAACATCCTTGAAAGGTCAAATGTGACTAAAAGGGTTTGACACTTACTCCTAGTTACCAGTTGCCCCCTCCAAAATGGATCAAGACATGCAACCAGGACAGGCCCATCCCATTATCCAGGGACAGTCAAAACCTGATTACAGAATGATTGATTTGCGAGGCATTTGCAGAAAGATCTTGATCAAAAGGTAGAAACCGTGAAAGTTGTCAGAATCAAAATAGAATTAACATGTTAAAAAACAACAACAACAAAAAATCCTGGCAAGCTGAATTGGGGAAGTTTATGAAGAGAAGATTCACAAACTTGTATACCTGATAACAAAAACTACCACAAATCTGTAAAAACTACAACCTTGTACAAAGACCATTGCAAACTTACACAAAAAATACTTCTGCCAGGACATCTGCCCAGCAACTGCCCATGCAACCTCACATTGGGGTCATCTCTATTATTATTGACCTTAGTAGCCAAGAAGAATTAACTCAAATAATTATGTAATCCTCCTCACATCTCCTGTCAAATCTACCTTTCCTGAATATGCATGTAGTTTCCTATGGCATGCGCACTCCCACTGTGATGCCCATTCTCAGATGAACATCATTTTCTTGTAAAGAGCCCTTGTCTGTCTGTCATTTAGGTTGACACAAAGGAATTTCTGTCAGGCTGCTTTGAGGATTCAGGGAAATACTGTGCGTAAGGCACTTGGCACAATATCTGATGTAAGTGCTCAATAAGCGTTACCTTTCCTTAGAAAGGGGCTGCTCAGTTCCTAAGACACTCCTGGAAAGTATAACCCAGTGAAAATCGAATTTCCTGAGACCATCCACACAATGCTGATGAGTGGGAATGTGGGGATGACAGGCCCAGCCCTTCCTATGTACTCATGGAAAGGAGGAAAATGACCAAGAAGCCTCTTGGGGGAAGAGAAGTCATCCTGGGATTAGCACATGGCCCTGGAATTAGATGTCAGTGAACATATTATCACCAGATCAAATGAATGTATCAAGGGGCCACCTGGGAAGATCAAGGAGGATGCAAAAAATCCAACTGCACCCCAGGCACTCAGTGGGGAAGAGCACACCCCCTCCCCAGCACCCAGGGCACAGTGTCTGCCTGGACTGTGCGCTTCCTCAGGCCACTCCACCATCACAGAGGTCCTCTGATGCCTATTGCCAAATAATAGGAGATTTTTTAAAAATGCTATAGCCCTTCCACGAACCAACTGCTCTACACATGTGATTTTGCATAGTTAGGTGCAACTGTGGCTGACCATCTGTAATATGAAAATCCACACCCAAAATGCTTCAAAATCTGAAACTTTTTGAGCACCAACATGGTGTTCAAAAGAAATGCTCAGAGAATTTTAGATTTCAAATTTTAGGGTTAGGGATGCTGAAACATAAGCATAATGCACACATTCCAAAACGGGAAAGGCAGTATTGCATGGGAAATACGTGATTCAGAGGCACCGAGGAGACAACTTACCAATGATAGTGCTTTCGTTTGAAGATAGATCTGCAAATAACTTCGTCTTGTTTCTTTAGAGTCTAAAAGCCATTTCCATGAATAACCACATGGTAGGATCTGCAAGGACAACATTCAAAAGTCTGAGTGAGGAAGAGTGGAGGGCTGCTTCCCCTCTGACCTCCCTGATCCTGGAGATCCTCCCCCAAAACTGAATTTGCAGAGGCTCCTGTAAGGAAGGAGCAGTGTTTGACCAACATCTATGTGTCCACTGGGTCAAATCTTCATCTGGTGTCACTGAGGGTCCAGGAGGAGGCAGCTGGGCCTTGAGCACACTCAAGGACTCTCTCCCTACCATCCCTGAACCAACATGCTAAGGAAAGGCCTTGGTCCCTGCACAGGGCAGGCTCAAAGTGCTATTCCTGCCCTGAAATCTGTGGTGCTCCCTCAGGCCCCAGGGGTACTGGCCATGCACTCAGCCAGGCCCTCCCTGATGTAAGGTGTAAGCGGAGCCATAATGCTGCCTGAAGACACCATGTCTCATGACTCAGCTGGGTGCCCAGGCCTAGATGCCTCCTTCAGGGCTGCTGAACACTCGGGGTCTCTCCTCCCTGTCTTTCTGTGTGCCTGTGGCAGGGAGGACACCCACAGGGGCAGGGGCAGGGCCAGGACTGCTCAGGGGAATCTATCACAGAGGCCCAGTTTTAGCTGCTATTCCAGAGATCTACAGGTGATTCCTCACCTCCTGCTCTTCCTGACCCAGCAAGGACCACAGGGCACCCACCCTGAGGTTCAGGAAGTGTGTCCTTCCACCATTGTGACTCCCACCCTGAGACAAATACCACAGGGGACACAGGACAGGTGGGGCTGGCCCCAGGAGCCAGCTGGGGTTCCCACAGGTCTGAAGCTGCCAAGGGCATTGGCCTCCACGCCTGCCTCCTGGCCCAGGCCCCGCTCTTTCCAATCCCTGTGGATGCCTGGGGTGCCCCTGGTCCATGCACCCAAGGAAAGCTTCCTGTGAACCCTGCTTCCTGCCTTCCTGCAGCGTCACACCTTCAAGGCGGGCTGTGGGTGAAGCTGGCCTGCCAACATGCTTTCTGAGGCTTTCAAGTACTTTCAAAAATGGGGGCCCACAGTTAAAAGCCTGAACATTTCCCCTAAATATCTAGATTTCTAGCTTTCTTGGAAAATGGGAAATGTAGGCCTCAGTGGGTTTGTGTTTCTCCATGTCAGCTCCTGGCTGGGACCTAGGGAACCATGCTTCTCAGATGAGGAGCTCTGAGGCCTGCCTCACTCCAAAGACCCGCACACTGACTGCTGACATCAGCCAGCTAGGCCTGGCCTGCTCTTCCTGCTCAAGGTGCCAGCCCAGCCCTTGTGGGCACCCACTTGATGGATACTATGCTGTCCTCGGAAGACTCTGGGCCTGGTGGGGGCACTGAGGCTGTGAGAGAGCAAGAAAGGCCAGCTTGGTGCCCTGTGCTGAGCAAGCAGACGTGGCCCCGCCTCAGGGCAAGTATCGGGTCCTCTCCCACCACTAAGACCGACAGCAGCTGCTTCCAAATCTGATGCCATCAGGTAGCATTTTCAATATCTTCCTCGCTCAGATGTCCAAAGGGCCCTGACCAGCCAGACCTCGGCTCGGTGTGTGCCCGGGAGGGAGCAACTGGGCCCCTTGGTCAGCCCCTTGGTCAGCCTGTGCCCCTTGGTCAGCCCAACTCAGCCACCCTGAGCAGGACTGAGGGCTGCCCCAAAGCTTCAGTCGGGGTGGTTGCAAATTACATTCTAGGCTATATTAGGGCTATGTATTCTATGTATTGCAAACATTTTTTTTTGCAAGGTGGATGGATGAAAAGAGAGAGAGAGGGAGAGATAAAGGAACATGGGCGAACATTCAGTGTAAAATCCCAGTAGTGGACAGAGGTGTATTTGTGTTCATTGCACAATCCTTTCCACTCACCTATAGGTTTGAAAATTTCAACAATAAAGGGTGGAAGAAAACCAAAGAACTAAAGAAGAAAATTATACGTGGACATAGACAACCAGAAGTCATGATACAACCTGGGTGACAAGTGACTGATGAGAGGCACAGACCAAGCCCTTGGCTGCAGGGAGTCAGAGGGGCTGGTCATCAGGGAAGGCTTCCAGGAGGAGGTGCCCTATGAGCAGGGCTGCAAAGGAAGGTGGACTCGGCCCTTCAAGGTGAGGCAGGGCTTGCAGACTGCCTATGTTCTACCTGGTCCCACCTCTGCACAGGGCGTCCAGGATAGGGAGTGGCTGCTGGACGGCCTGGGGGTCCTGCTAAGAGCCTCAGATACTTGCCAGGCTTGGAAGGGAGGTGCCTGCCAAAACCCTCCAGCTATGTGTGGGGGATGGGCTCAGGAATGGCCTGGAGCAGTGAGGCCAGCAGAGGCCTCTCCCAGGCTGGATATGAGGCCCAGGGCTAAATGGGGGTAGGGAGTCTGGGCTGCGTGCCTCCCTCCCTGGACTCCTTCCTGGGTTCCCTGGAGCCCTCCTGGCTTCTCGGCGGCAGCCTGCTGACAGGCTCATTCTGCTGCATTTGGGTTTTAGGCTCCTGCTTTGGCCCTTCCCTCCTGTGACTGTCACCCTCCATGTTTGCCCAACTTGGCCAACAGCTGACAGTTCGGGGCTGTGACTGCCAGGCCACATGGGCAGAGGTAGAGGGCCGAGTTGGTGGGCAGAGGGCACCTGTCACCTCAACTCAGCTGCCTCCAGGGAGGAGTGACGACTCACATCCTCACCTGGGGTTGACAGGGCTGCTCAGATGCCACAGCCTGTGCATGTCCAGGGGACATCATCAGAGGAGCACAGCTGTCACACTGGCTACATGGCTGAGCAGCTTTAAATCAGGAGCAGCAGAGAGACCCTGAGGGGGAAGGGAGCTCTCTACTCCACCCCCACCCTCAACTCTGCATCAAGGAGAGGCGAGTAGGGGCCACAGCCCAGGACCAATCATGGAAGTGTCAGCCCAGCTCCTGTTTCTGGGTCCCACCAGCTCCCAGCCCTGTACCAGTCCTCGCACAGCCCAGTGGCTTGGGACTCACGACAGGCCTGACAGCATCCTTTCTGTTCATGGGAGGCACCTCTGGAGCTCACTGACATTGGACAACTTGCTCCTGGTCGTGTGCCCATGGAGAGCAGAACACAGACATGGACTGTGTGTCTGTCCCCACAGCCTACTGCCAGGGCACCCTGCAGTTAGGAACCGGGAGGCCAGAGCCCAGCTGCTGCTCTGGGGCCAGCAGCACCCAGCCTCGTGCTGTCCCCATGGATGGAGGACAACCAAGGCTCCCTTCCTCTCCAGCAGCTGCAGTTGCGTAAATGCCGGCCATGCAGAGTCCCAGCACTCACAGGCGGAGGTCAGGACAGACAGGGGTCATCACAGAGGACCACACGAGGCTGTCACCACCCATGCCAGGACTCACCCTTGCCACATTTCAGACAGTAGGGACAGATGCTGGGATTTATCCTGTGGAATTGAAGTGAGCCGAGAGTGTTTGTGTGGACGCCTTTGTTGAGCTATGAAGGTTTCCTTCTGCTCCCAAGGTGCTGTGGCATGTTGACGCCCCCACTTCTTGTTCTTCATCCCCTGAGATAACCTCTTGGTTCCTGTTTCCCCTTTTGTTGATGTGGTAAATTTCACAACTATTTCACCTTCTGCACCTGCCTGGCCTTCCTGGGAGGAGCCATGGCTGCACCTGGCCTGTGGTCTGGGTTACCTGCTGCTCCATGCCATTTGCTGGTGTTTCCCTGAGAGTTTCTCACACATGTCTTTTCTTGCTTTAGAGTTAAACTTATTGTTGTGAGGTAACAACACACTAACTGTGCACAGGTACTCATACCCCCACCCCCGCATATTCCCCCCACGCCAATGGACACTCACATTCACACCCATGTGGGCTATACATCCACACCCATCCACCCATGCACACTGTACCACAAACACACTCAACCCACCCCGTACCAAACACATCACACCACACACCACACACCCAAAGCACACACACCCACACACCACACGCACACATAAATAGCAAACACACGTACACCAAAAATACTAAAGACACATCACACATCCCATACACACAACACACACATCACACATCATACACACACCACACACTCCCCACTCCCCTAACACACACCCAGCACACCCCACACACACAACGTAAACAGCAAACACGTATACACCAAAAATACCAAGCACACACCTACACATCCCATACCATACACACACAGCCACGGCACATACACCCACCACCCACTGAATGCACACACAAAGTATACACACATGCCATCACACCATTTCCTTCCCCTCATGCCACATGCACAAGATATACCCATGTAGACACCCATGTATGACACACACAACACATCCAAACACTCTAGTCCTATTGTACATACCCCCACCACAGACACACATAAATAGTAAACACACATACACCACAAACAGCAAACACACAGCACACATCCCAGGCACACACCACACACACAAGCAGTACACTCCCGACTCCTCCACACAACAAACTCACACACTAGACACCACGCACCAGGTACCCTTCCCACACACTTCCACAGCACCCCAACTTACGCCACACACTCCTCACATACACCACACGCACATACATACATGCCCCGTACACACACTCACACCCCCACACACATACAACACATACCTCCTCAGCTCCCACACCACATACACCCACAACACAACACACACAGATGCGTCACTCATGCATACCCCCCACATACTATACTCACAGCCCACATACACACCCCACACACAGATCACACACACATTTACACAACACACAGACCACATATTACCCTCCCCTGCAGACTTCACACACATCAAGCTTCCCACAGCACACCTTCCCACACACACTACACACACTGCACCCACACAAACTACATACACACACCAAACACACTCACACCACATACACACACCACGATCACACACTCCCCACACACATCGTCCCCAACACATACCAAACAAACGCACACTGCATACATGCACACACTCAACGCACACCACCGTTTGGCTACCACAGGGCCTCCGCAGCCCTCACCTCCTACACACACAGAGGAAGGCTCCACCAACATAGCTTCAAGACAGGTCTTTGATGTGAGCTGGAACACATGAGTAGGAGTGGGACAGGGCAGGGAGAGTGAGCTTCCGGTCACAGAAGCCAGGCCCCTAGCCCCTCACCTCCACCCACTCACAGTATCAACAGTTGCTTCTCAGGGCCTTGAAGCCATTCTCCACTGCAAACACATGGTCAGGGCTGTCTGCAATTGCTGTTATCTACAGAAAGCAGAGCTGGATCCCCAGCCCAGGGGTGAGGATGCAGCAGACCCCTGGCCCAGGGGACAGTGTCACGCCCCCATGCTTTGGGGGCAGCAGAATGCCAGGCTCTGAGAGCCACAGCCTTCTCCAACCAGCAGCCCACTCTCAGGGAGTGCCTGGGGAGCTCTTCCGCCCTCCCCTCTAGTGTGGTGGGATTTATACGACATGCTGTCATTTCTGCAGTAGTCATGGGTTGGCCCAACTCACTTGAGGCAGATTAGATGACCCTTCTTAGGGTGGCCCTGGGAAAGCCACCTGAGACGCCCTTCCCTACTCTAACCCTAACCTGACCACAAGGCTCCATATTGGTACCTGGTTAACCTGTTTGGAATTACCAGGTCTTTCCTATAATCAGCCACACCCAGGGTATAAATGGTGGCCCCCAGGTTCCAAGTCCTTTCAGCTTAAGGGAAAGAAGGCATTCAGAATTAATTACCAAAATACAAGGAGCAAAATGCTGATAAATACGAACTGAACTCACTTCTTTGAGAGTGTCCAAAAATGGATGTTTCATCATTGTTCCATCGGTCATAGCAATAATCATGCTGGAAACCTTGTCTGCAGGAGAAGCAAGGAGTGGCCTGCTCAGCAAAGGCCCTGGAAGTGACCTCCAAAAGCTCTGGTGTTGGGAGAAAAGCTGAGTGTTGGGAGAGAAGCTGAGGCAGGGCTTGCATGTCTGCTAGACTTGCTGGCTCCTTGCTTCTAGCACTCCCATTATCTCAAGCAGCTATATGTTTCTAATTCACTTGATACACTGTTTCCTTTCAACCCTTGCATCCTCACCCCCTGTTTCTTTGTTTGAGCACCAATAAATAGCATGGACTCCCAGAGCCCGGGGCCTTTGCAGCCTCCACACTCGTGATGGCCCCCTGATCCCACTTTCTCTCTCAAACTGTCTTTTTCTCATTCCTTTGACTCCGCCAGACTTCATTACTCCCATGATCTGGTGCTGGGTTTGATCACCCCAATACTCCAGGACCCCTGTGGGCCGCCAGGCCCACAGCACTGATCACTCCAGGGCATGGCCAGGTGCGCCCGCCTCATCCTCCAAGGGAGAGGCTGCCAAGAGCCAAGCACCTGCTATCCAGAGACCCCTAGAGTGAGGAAGGTCTCAGCCCAGCACCCATTTAAAAAGGAGGAGCTGAGAGAGGCAGACCCCTTCTCAACAGGCTGCCTGTACTCTCACCCACTAGCAGCAGCACCACCTCTGCCTGAGGGCAGCTCCAGCCAGGACTCCATGAGCACAGGCCTGTGGCACAGGCAGGGGGAGGAGCAGCCGGGCTCTCCTGTGGGCAGAGCCTGTGGGCAGCCCTGCCGGCATCTGTGGGCCCAGGAATACAGGAATCCAGGTCAGTGGCACCTGGGCAGGGGACCCCACGGCCACCTCAATGCCTTTCCCCACCAACCCTGCCTTTTCCTGACAAGAGCTGCAGCCACACAGTGGGGAGGGGAGTCGGCGGCTGTGGACAGCCTTCTGCATCATCTGAGACACATTCAGGGAATGCAAGTCACTCAGAGGGGAAACGAGGAAGGGAGGAGGAAGATTAAGGTGTGTGCAAGGGGGCAAACCCCTTGGCTCTTCCCTTTTCCTTTTCACACAGCCCAGCTGGAGGGCAAGCACCTCAGGGTTATGAGCACCAGGGGTGCACACGCAGGATCCCACACAGTTCTCAGAACTCCATGGGGCGGGGGCTTACTATGCTCACGGCACCAGGGAGGGACCTGGAGCTCAGAGCAGGTGAGCAACTTGCTCCAAGAGGCAGGACAGGTGTGGCCTTGCAGAATCTGCACACAGAGCTCTCTGAGGCTCTCGCCCAGCTCTGTTTCCCCAGGTGCTTACATGTGGAGTTGAAATTTTCCATCTGCCGAATTGCCTGCAAGAAAATGAAGAAATAGCGAACCTGGACAGTGAAATATCGAACCTGGACACGGATACTCTAAGACCTTGTAAACTAGAATTGATTCTTGGAGCTCAAGGGGTGTATACATTTCTAAATCCTGCCTGCATGGATGTGTGTCCTTCAGGCACCATTTTCTGAAGTTGGTCGAGACCCTCTTTTATTTTCTTCCTGAAAAAAACTCCAAAAAGGTGGTTGACATGGAAACACATGGACTGTTAAAAATTAGCTCCCTGGCCGGGCACGGTGGCTCATGCCTGTAATCCCAGCACTTTGGGAGGCCGAGGCGGGCGGATCACGAGGTCAGGAGATCAAGACCATCCTGGCTAACATGGTGAAACCCCGTCTCTACTAAAAATACAAAAAATCAGCTGGGTGTGGTGGCGGGCACCTGTAATCCCAGCTACTCAGGAGACTGAGGCAGGAGAATGGCATGAGCCTGAGAGGCGGAGCTTGCAGTGAGCCAAGATCGTGCCACTATACTCCAGCCTGGGTGACACAGTGAGACTCCGTTTCAAAATAAAATAAAATAAAAAACTCCCAAGCTCTCTGGGAGCCACTGTTCACCGTGCAAGGCCTCCTGGATGGAGAAGGGGCCAAGCAAGGGCTCTGTCCTGCTCATTCCTCATTGTGATGTTGACCATAGATTTCAGGACTTCTAATCTCATCCCAGTTCTAGAGAATGCAGGCCTGAGAAATGTCACCAGGGCCCCGCTTAGACTATCTTTAGTGACAGTGGGAGCTTCCCATGGATGAGCAACTGTAAGTCAGGAACTGCAATGGGGCTGACATTCCTAACCCTAACCCTAACCCTAACCCTAACGGGGGATGGGCAACTGAGAGTTAGCGCCTGACAATAGGATTGACATTCCTAACTCTAACCTTAACCATAACCCTGAACCAGGGATGGGCAACTGAGGGCAACTGACAATGGGGCTGACATTCATAACTCTAACTCTAACCCAAACCCTAACCCTACCCTGAACCAGAGATGGTCAACTGAGAGTCAGCCACTGACAATGGGGTTGACATTCCTAACTCTAACTCTAACTCTAACTCTAACCCTAACCCTAATCCTAACCCTAACCCTAACCCTAACCCTAGCCCTGAACCAGGGATGGGCAACTGAGAGTCAGCCACTGACAATGGGGTTGACATTCCAAACTCTAACTCTTACTCTAATCCAAACCCTAACTCAAGGAGGACTCTCTTGGGTTGGGCACTCCATCCTTTAACAGGTAGGGCTGCATTTGGGAAAAGTCATCCTGCTAAGCCCCCAGTCCTGCACCCAGACCAGACAGCCCCAGACCCCAGACCCTGACTCAGTTTCCTCCTCTCTCTTTACCCTGCTACAGGAAATACCAAATCTACTAACTTAGACTGCCAGGCCTCCTTGACTTTCTGTGCCCCTGAAACAAGAAGACCAAAGGCTGGAGAGGCAGCCCTGACGGCTATGCATGCAGGGGCCGAACACTGATCTGCAGGCTGGCTAGGGGATGTGCCCTGTCAGCTGCTGTTAAAACAGACAGAATGGGCTGGGGCAGCCAGGACTGGCTTTGGTGGCAGGCCTGGGACGGGCCAGGGACTTAGGGTCAGGCTAATCCAATGTGACAGGCTGAGCCTGCACAGCAAGGCTGGACAGAGCATGGACCCCGAAGGATGGCTTCCCACTCCGGGCAGAGTCCCTGCCATGGCCAGAGCTCTGAGAGCCCTGCCCTGCCCAGCCCAGGAGGGGAGGAGGCCAGGCCCATCCCTACCCAGAAGAGACCATGCCCTGGCCTTCCTCTGGCCATGCCCAAACCCCGCTCCCCATCTGGGTCATCTGCCACAGTCCTCCCCAATAGACTTGCTTTTTACCACCTCACACCCACTCCAGTCTCTCTGCCAAACCCACAGCGCAGGACACACAGATTCAAGCCTCCCCCCAGCTCAAGATGTGGCAGCCCACCCTGTATTCCCTCGAAGCTGCAAGTGGGGTCCAGGCCCCCATCCAGTCCTCAGTGTCCTCACCTCTCCTGTGCTTCACCTTATCTGGGCCAAGTTCTGGGCATGTGCATTGGAAGTGCCCTCACCTCCCACCAAACAGGAAGTCTGCAGTGCACCCTGCTGGGCCTGGGCACCTTGCTAGGCCACCTCAAGCCACCTTAGCTTTCTCCTCCTACCTCTCTCCAGTTTCCCAGCCTGGCCTGGAGCTCAGAACCCCACTCAGGGACTCCCCTGTCTGGTCCTGCCAGCATCCCTGCACTAAAGGCCCAGGAATCTCACCACCGGCTCTGATCCTGTCTCCCTCCCGCACTGGCCAGGGCAGGGGGAACAGGCACAGAGCAGCAGCCCGCACAGGTGTGTGTTCACAGGATGCCCCCACCCCTCCGCCAGCCCCTGCACCCCGGGAATCCTCACAGCCACCTCCCAGAGAAGGAGGCAGGGCAGAGAGAGGGCAGGGGAGCGTGAAGTGGGGGAAGCTGAGAACTTCTGGAGCACAGGGGCCTGCAGGTAACCTTGCAGCCATGGGTAGAAGGATGCAGGGGAGCCGGGGCTAAGGTCAGGGTGGGTACTGTGAGTTGCCCTGTCCGGCCTGCCCTGTATGCTGGCAGACTCCCAACCAAGGTCTCCGGGGATCCCTCAGCTCCCTGGAGCCCCCTCTGGCTCAGCTCATCAGGCCTCCCTTTGGGGCTCAAAGCAGCACTCACTTGTCTGAGGTGAGCAGCAAGACGGTGTCACAGTCCATGGAGTAGGTGACAAAGGACATCCGCATATTTGGTCTGAGACGGAATCAAGCGCTGGTGAAAAGCCGGAGGCACCGGCTCAGAAGCCGGGGCGAGTGATGCCAATTCCCCACCTCCCACTCCAACTCTGTTATGAATTCCCTGTTATGATTGACAGGAGGCTTGACACGGTGACTTTGTGACCTGCTGCTCTTCCCAATATCCTGCATGTTAACAACGCCAGGGGGAGGCACAGGACCTTTGGTGGGGCTACAAGAGGAAGCTTCCATTTCCCTTATAACAGCCCTCATGGTGTCCCTTAGAACTCCCAGACCCTGCCGTTTGTTCACTGGAAGAGTTAGCCCAGGTGACTTAGGTGAGGACATTGCTGTGGGTGAGGAAGTCAAGGACTGGGAGGTCAGAGTGTTGGCAGTGAGAGGTCATTTGTGTGACACTGAAGTCTCCCAGGGGATAGCCGATCTGGAAGGAGATGGAAACTGCAGTGTTGCCAGAGTCCTTGTGAATGAGGGACATTCTGGTTCTTTACTGCTGTGCACCAGACCCCCCTCATTTAGGGACACAGAACAGGCCCATTTTGTTACGCTCACAGGTTCTGATGATCAGGCACTCAGGGCAGAGTAGGGAGGGCTTCCTCATGTCTGGGGCCCCAGATGGGAAGGCTTGAGCAGCCCGACAAGACTTGAAGGATTGGGCACTGGAATTATCTGGAGGCTGCTCTACTCACAAGTGTGGCTCCTGGGCAGGAGGGCTCAAAAGCTGGGCTCAGCTGGAACTGTGAATGGAGACCCTGCATGGAGCCTCTCCGTGTGACCTGGGCTTCTTCCCAGCATGGCAGCTTCAGGATGCTTGGGCTTTTACAGGTGGCCCAGAGTTCCAAGAGTGAGTATTTCCAGTGAGCAAGGCAATAATTGTAGAGCCTTTTATGATATCACTTTGGAAGTCACACAGCGTCACTTCCACTGTACTCTATTGGTCCAAGCAGTCACAGCTGCCCAGAGTCAGTGGGAGGAACACAGGCCCCCTCTCTAGGGCAGGAGTGTGGACGAGTTCACATCCCAGTGGAAAACTGCTATATGACCAATGCTTTGAATGGCAGAGACGTTACAGTGTGTGGAAAAATGTGGACACTGATGATGGGATTCAAGTCGGACTCAGAAAAGTTAGACTGTGATAGTTAGAAACACCTTAATTTTATTTTCTTCATTTTTGTATGCAGAAGTGATATATGATTTAAAATTCTTCTTCAATAAGTCTAAAATAGATCTTTCAACATATTTAACACACAAATTACAAGTGACAGCCAGGCAGGGTGGCTCATGCCTGTAATCTCAGCACTTGGGAGGCTGAGGCCAGCAGATGACTTGAGGTCAGGATTTTGAGAGCTGCCTGGCCAGCATGGCGAAACCCATCTCTACTAAAAATACAAAAATTAGCCAGGCGTGATGGTGCACATCTGTAATCTCAACTACTCATGTGGCTGAGGCAGAAGAATCACTTGAATCTGGAAGGCGGAGGCTGTAGATTGCGAGATTGCATCATTGCATTCCAGCCTGAGTGAGACTCTTCCTCAAAAAAAAAAAAAAAAAAAAAATTACAAGTGATAAAAAGCTCTGGGTTAGGGGACTTTGGGGGGTTTTGTCTTGCTTTGGAGTGGTGTTTAAAATAACAGATTATTTTAAATAAGTGGTATTTTAGAATGGGTAAAGTTGGTGTAATTCCTCCGAAAGCATATTAGGTTTTCTTGCTTCATATCCTTCATGACTCTTCGTAGTGCCATATTTTAGATTTTTTATTTCTAATTATTTTTTGATGTCTAATCAATAGACAAAAGTATTGTCTTAATTTGCAGTTTCCTAATTACTAAAGGATTGTTCATCTGTTCACATGATTTTGGGTGATTCATGTTCCCTCCTTTGCGAAGTGCCTACTCATGCCTGTGTGTCCATTCTTGATTTGGGTGTTTGTCTTTTGCCTATTGATTCATTCACATTCTTTAAATTCTGAATACTAATCCTTTATCAATTGTTGCAAATATCTTCTTGCATGGTGTGGCTTGTTTTTTCACTCTATTTGTTGTCTCTTAGTAAAGCAAAAGCTGTTCGTTGTAATCCAGTTGTTTGTCATTTTCTTTTTCTTTTGTTTTTTTGTTGTTGTTGTTGGTGGTGGTGGTGGGTTGCTTGTTTGTTTGTTTGCTTGTTTTGTTTTGAGACAGAGTCTCACTCTGCTGCCCAGGCTGGAGTGCAGTGGTGTGATCTCAGCTTACTACAACCTCTGCCTCCCAGGTTCAAGCAATTCTCTGCCTCAGACTCCCAAGTAACTGGAATTACAGGTGCCCGCCACCACGCCCAGCTAATTTTTGTATTTTTAGTAGAGATGGGGTTTACCATCTTGGCCAGGCTTGTCTTGAACTCCTGACCTCGTGATCAACCCGCCTTGGCCTCCCAAAGTGCTTGTCATTTTCTTAAACTTTAATATTTGCTCTATTTTGAATCTTAAGAATTTCTTCCCTGTTACAGGTGAAATACATTTTATTTTACAAGTTTTAAAGATTTGTCTTTCACATTGAAATCTTGATTCTACCTAGAATTAATTTATAAGTGTGATTTGTGCCAGATATTTGATTTCATTTTTTGCCATGTAGATAACAAATTGTCCCAGCAATTCCATTTTTTCCCATTGATCTTGTCACTACTTGTGTTTCAAATTCCATATATATTTGAATCTGTTTTTATTAATTTATTTTGAGATGGAGTCTCTCTCTGTTGCCCAGGCTGTGTAGTGCAGTGGCACCATCTCAGCTCACTGCAACCTCTGCCTCCCAGGTTCAAGCAATTATAATGCCTCAGTCTCCCGGGTAGCTGGGATTATAGGCACTAGGATGTGCAGTGTTCCCTTGGGAACCTGGGATGGATACGTGGGAGAATGATATATACACACGAGAAATATAGTTTGTGCTTTTCAAATGATTAAATGGGGAGAGGGAAGGGGGTAACCAGAAGATAACCTAGACTCATCTGACACATACACACAGTTCTTCATATACACACTGTGCCTGGCTAATTTTTGTATTTTTAGTACAGACTAGGTTTCTCCATGTTGGCCAGGCTGCCAATCTCTTTATCTATTGGCTTGTATTGACAGCATCCATACCACACTATCTTAATAACTATGTGGGGGAAGACTGTATTACCATCCATCACTGTCCCTTTCCATTTAAAGGAAGGACTGTGCTCCCTGCCATGTTCGTGGCAGGTTTTGATTGACCAGTGGAAAGTTAACAGAAGTAATGTGTGCCATTTCTGGACAGAAAATGTTTAAGAGTCTAGGTATGACTCAGGTGGCCCCAACAGCCTGGTGCCTGAGCAACTAGGATGTGCAGCGTTCCCTTGCGAACCTGGTGTGGATACTTGGGAGAATGACATATACCCATGAGAAATATAGTTTGTGCCTTTCAGATGATTAAATGGGGAGAGGGAAGGGGGTAACCAGAAGATAACTTAGACTCGTCTGACAATACACAAAGTTCTACAGCAATTCTTCACACAATACGGTCAATCATCCACCGTTTTTACTTCTGGTAATTGTTGGCTATTTGCTCTTTGACATAAATTTTAGAATCAGCTCATCAAGTCTCCTCTCTCCCAAAAACTTCTTAATGTTTGATTATAATAACATTAAATGTATGGATTCATTTGGAAGAGTTGTCCTATCAGTGAATATGACACATGGCACATGTCTGTTTACACAGGTCTTTTCCAATGCCTTTCATATAAATTCCCCTACAAAGATCTTGACCTCATTGGTCCAGTGCATTCCCAAAATATGCTACATTTTACTACTATTGTAAATGATAATTTAAAAGTTTTTAAACTGTGTACCATATACAGAAATGTACTTACATGTTTATATATTGACCCACCTGGCTAAACTGTCTTCTATTAATTCATCTGTAGATTCATTTTGATTTCTTGTAAAATACAATTTTTTTAAAAAAAAGAATAAGCATTATGCTGACTAGTTCTCCAATCCAGTGTTGACTAGTGATGGAGGCATTCTTGATTTTAAAGAGAATGTTTCTAACATCACAATTAACAATGATATTCATTGAAAGCTTTTGGTAGAAATTCTTTTATCAGATTAGAAAGTTCCTCTACTAATCTTGGTTTGCTACAAGTCACAAACAAGTGTTTTTTCTGGTATTTTGTGATGAACATGTGTTTCTGTCCAGTAATCTAAATTTAGTATGTTTAGATACATTAATGCATGCAAAACCAATTTTAAAATGTTATAAATAAACCTCACTTGGCCATGATATTTTAAAGCATGCCAGATAGAGTTTACTCATAATTTAGAACTTTTTGTTTATTTATGATCATGAGAGAGATGGGTCCATACTTTCCGATTTCTGTGCTGTCCTTATCTGTTTTTGGTATTAGGTCATAGGAGACTCATAAAATGCACCTGGAGGTTTGCTCTTTCTCCTAGGAAAGACTTTGAACATGATAAATATAATCTGCTCTTTGAATATCTGGTTTGATATCATCCTTGTGTTTTCTTTTGGGAAGACTTTTAAATGATATACTTTAATAGTTCCTGGATGTTATGAATTCGGTCTCCCCCAAAATGTGTATGTTGAAGCCCTAACCAGTTGATGTGACTGTATTAGGACATAGGGGCCTTAAGGAGGTAATTAAGGTTAAATGAGGTCATAAGAGTAAGGCCTTAATCAAATAGGACTGATGTACTTACAAGAAGAGAAAGAGACACCAGAGCTTTCTCTTCAAGCATGCACAGAACAAAGGTCATGTGAAAACTCCATGAGAAGGTCTCTATTTGCAAGCCAAGAAGAGGAGTCCCATCAGAGACCAATCCTGGTGGCACCTTGACCATACTTTCAGCCTCCAGGATTGGTAGCAAATAAATTTTTATTGTTTAAGCCCCCCAGCCTGTGGTATTTTCTTATGACACCCAGAGCAGACTAACAGTTATTTATTTTATTGTTATTATTATTATTTTTGAGACGGAGACTCACTTTGTCGCCCAGGTTGGAGTGCAGTGGCATGATGCTGGCTCACTACAACCTCTGCTTCCCAGGCTCAAGAGATTCTCCTGCCTCAGACCCCAGAATAGCTGAGATTACAGGGGCGCACCACCAGGCCTGGTTAATTTTTGTATTTTTAGTAGAGACAGGGTTTCACCATGTTGCCCAGGCTGGTCTTGAACTCCTGACCTCAAGTGATAAGCCCACCTTGGATCCCAAAGTCCTGGGATTACAGCCATGAGCCATCATGCCCAGCCCTAACACTTATTTAGTGTTTCTATTTCTGCCAATTCATATGACATATTTTTCTAGGAATTTGAACATTTATTAGTATGCCTTGTTATAAGATTGTTCAGAATGTTTAATTCTTATATTTCTGCTCTATCTGTAGTTACATCTTTTTAATTCCTATTATTGCTTAGTTGTGCCTTCTCTTTCTCTAGGCATTCTAAGCAGGGAGGATATTGTCCCTAAAGGAGTGAAAATTAGCCTTGGGTGGGTCTTACTCTTCTAAAATATAAAGCATAGATATGTATACAGTACATAAAGGGCAATCGAGTATATATGTGGAATCAAAATTTCTTGGGGGTTAGTGGGGAGAGGTTATTAAGAAACATAAAGCCTAAAACATTTCCCAGGGTCGGGAGATTACAATGAAAAACAAAAAAGGATAGGAAGCACTGTCTTGTTTTCTGATCAATTTCACTGGAGTATTGTCTATGTTAGCAAAGCTTTCAAATAACCTTTAGCTTTGTTATTACTCTCTATTGTATTTTTGTTTTCTATTTATAGTTATTTACTTAATATCCTCTACCTTTCACTTTCTTTGGGTTCATTTTGCTACTCTTTTTCTCATATTTTCATTTGGATTATTAGCTCTTTATTTTCACCCCTCTTTGCTGCAAAAAAAACTTAATAGGTCTCAAATTTCCCTCTAAGTTTCTCTTTCACTGAATCTCATAAGTTTTCATATGTGATATTTTATTATCAGTTGATTTTAATATTTTAATTTCAGTGTTGATTTCTACTTTGATATATTCAATTTTCAACTTCCAATTTTATGTGGTTTTAAAAAATTCTTTTTGTCATTGATTTCCAACCTAATCGCATTATCATCAGAGAACATGGTCTGTATGACACTATTTCTTTGAATTTTATTGAGATTTGTTTCAATACATGATTTGGGGGAGGATTCTTTAGAAGACCATTAAAACCAAGTTTATTAATTGTGTTGTTCAAATCTTCTAAATTTTTAGAAATATTGTGTCTACGCAACACATGCGTGTTGAAATTTCTCAAATGCATACTGGGTTTCACAATTTCTCCTTATAGTTTATGTTTTTTGTTTTATTTTATTAGGCACATGCAAGTTTAGAATTGTTACGGCTGTCTGTAAAATGCAACTGATTGGGAACTGATCCTCTCAAACCCTGGTCACGCTTTCTCTGTGCTGAAGACTCCCACTTCCTTTTGGTTTTCCCAGCATCCCGGTCATATCTCTGTATCTTTTCCCATCCTTTTATGTTAAACTTTTTAATGTCCTTATGTATTAGATGTGTCTCTTTTTGAAAATATATAGCTAGTATTGTTTTCATTTTTGTTTTTATTGTTGTTGTTGCTGTTGCTGTTGTTGTTGTTGTTGTTGAGACATGGTTTCACTCTGTTGCCCAGGCTGGAGCGCAGTGGTGCGATCTTGGGTTACTGCAACCTCCACCTCCTGGGTTCAAGACATTCTCGTGCCTCAGCCTCCCAAATACCTGGGACTACAGGTGCGCACCAACACATCCGGTTTTTGTTTTTTTTTTTTTTTTTTTTGGTGGAGACAGGGATTCACCATGTTGGCCAGGCTGGTCTCGAACTCCTGACCTCGAATGATCCGCCTACCTTGGCCTCCCAAAGTCCTGGGATTACAGGCATGATCCCACAGTGCCCAGCCAATTTCTGTTTAAGAGTCAGGGTCTCACTCTGTTGCCCAAGCTAGAGTGCAGTGGTGCACTCATAGCTCACTATAACCTGGAACTTCTAGGCTCAAGTGATCCTCCTGCCTCCCACAGTCTGGTAAGTAGGACTATAGTGTGTGCCACCACACCCAACTAATTTTGTTTTCTGTGGTTTTTTTGTTTTTCTGTTTTGTTTTGTTTGTTTGCTTGTTTGTTTTTGAGAGAAAGGTTCTTGCTATGTTGCAGAGACTGGCCTCAAGCAATCCTCCCACATCTGCCTCCCAGAGCTATGGGATTACAGGCATAAGCCACGGTGCTGGATTGGATTTTAGCAGACAAATTCTGACTTTAAATGGCAAGTTGAGTACATTGTGGGGAGCACAAAACTGCACCAATCAGATCTCTGACTGTGGGGAGTATGACTGGGGGAAGGGAGTGTTTTGGAAATCCACTCTCTATCACCACAATGGGCCACCACATTCACAGAAAGACCATACCCCTCACAGGCTTCTTCCAGCCAGAGGCCAGCAGGGATATGAAGGCAGGCCCATGCCTAGGAAATCTCAGACTCCCCAGATGGCTCAAGGTCTCCCCAGCTGCTTGGATAAACTTTCCTGAAACTGGTCTCCCCTCTGAAATTATTCTTTCCTTTTATTTTCAGAAAACTCCCCATATTGGTGATGGTCATTGAAAGGAGCTGGGCACATTCCTCAGCCCCGGGCTCAAAACAAACAAGCCCAGTACAAACACATCCCATCCTCCCATCCCACCACATATCGCCATATATCTCTCAAACTTCCTGAGCCCAGTACAAACACCACCTGGAAAGTCTCCGATAAGGAGGCAGCCATTCAAAGTTTTACTGAAAGCGCGGGAACCAAAAGAATTCCTTTGCTCCCCTGTAACTTTCGGGCTATAAAAAGCAAACACTCGCATTGTTCGAGGCCCTCTTTATGCTGTGGAATGGAGGGACCAGGTTCGAACTTGTAATAAAGATCCTTGCCGCTTGGCTTTGACTCTGGACTCTGGTGGTCTTCTTTGGGGAACAAACGGTCTGGGTATAACATCTCCTTCTGGCTTTTGCACGGCACCAGATAACCCGCGCCAGTAGCACAGCTGCCCTGGCCTTCGGTGAGGACTGGGGCGATCGCGGTGCACGCTGCTAGGGAGTCCCACCGGGGGAGTTGAGGCGGCGGATTCCGAGAGCGGGGTGGGCTGAATCCGGAGGGAGCCCGTGGAACGCACCGCGCAGACCGCGCCGGCGCCCGCACTCAGCTATTGACTAGTCTTTCTGCCTGCTCACCCCTGAAAGTGGTCCAGGCGGCAGTCTCTCTTTTTCTGCCTTTTTGTTTCTCTCCGGCGAGTTGGCGCGAGGGTGAATTTCCGTTTCCGGCGGTGTCCAAGCGGACCTAAGGAGTTGTAGTTTTGAGCAGGTTCGGTGCGCGGGCTGAGGCAGGCGGCCATGGGGTCCTTGGCTCTGGGGCACTGGGAAGATCGCGAGTCGTGCGTGTGGGAAGGTCCTCCCCCCGTCCTCCGGGTCATCTTTGCTCCCGAGGAACAGCATATTTAGCATCTGCCAGAAGTGTGCCCGGGGGTCGTTGGGAGAGTGACGGGATGAATCCCTGCAGAGAGCCCGGACTGGGAGGGAAGGTGTCGGGGAGACTTGGTTTCCTGGCGACGTGGCCTCGGCAGGCTACTTAGACCTGAGCGGAATCTGTTGAGCCCAAATTGTGCTTTTCCCACCAAGGAGAGAAGGGAGAGAAACAGTACAAGTTTGGTACTAAAATATAGTAGAGAAGCAACATAACCCCTGAAATCACACAGCTATTCAGTTTCAAAGCGTTCCTAGTGCCCAGCTCTCCTAACTCCCGGCCAGTGTTCCTTGACAATATGGTGATACATAAAGACTTTCCGTTTCCGCTCGTGTGTGTGTCTGTGGGAAGCCTCTGACTCACCTCTGTGCTCCAGTAGCACCCTGTGCAGCCTTGCAGTGTAGCCCTTATTGCATGGCACGGAAGACACTAGTTTGGATTTCCTCAGCCAGTCAGATCATAGCTATATCCATTTACTGGCACAGTGGCTAGCGCATCATAGACAGACACAAATATTTATTAAACGGAATGAATATAAGACCTTTATTGAATGAAATGGCACCCTGCCCCGCTTTTCTTCAATCAAACTGTCAGATTTTATGCAGCCCGATATCCTTAAAAAAAACTCACTAATTCAGTGATTACCAATTTATTGGCCACAGCTTCCTAGGTACCTCAGAAATCACTGGGTCTCTGTAAGTCCATGGGATCTCCAGGCATCACCTCAAACCATTCATATCTGGCACATACAGATATTGCTATTTTTCAAATGTATGTAGATGAGCTGTAATTTAGGAGTTTTACAGAGTCAACAGGTACTAAAAGTAATACTGCGATCATATTGGAAGTTCATAAAAACGTTTTAAATATTTTATTAAAATCTAAGTTTCAGTTTAAATTAGGAAACCACTTCATTAGTCCCGTTGATATCTAGGTCTGAGCTGTCAAGTAGCCACATGTGACTATTTAGAGTTAGAATGAAATTAATTAAAAATTCATTTTTTCAGTTTCTCTAAGTACATTTTAAGTAACCACATGTGGCTAAAGGCTAAATAGCTGAAAAGTACAGATATAGAATATTTCCATCCTTGCAGAAATAGTGCTGATGTTGACACTTAAGATGAATAAAAAGTAACTTAACCATGAAATGTAACCTTAGTAGAGGTAACTCATCTAATTTATAGCATAACAGAGAGAAATTAAATTAGGGATGGTTAAGCAGTTTCTACCCTTGTTCAGTGAACAAATACATCATCTCTTCATAAAGAAATAAACGAAATTTAGTATTTTTGCCTGGGTATTGCCTGGATTGTAAAATGCTTCTCCCACCTCCTTACCCCAACCTTCTTCCTTGTAGGTTAGAGTTACTTGTTATTGGTAAGTAGCCACTATGGAGACTAAGGACCAGAAGAAACACAGAAAGAAAAACAGTGGACCAAAGCTGCAAAGAAAAAGAAGCGGCATCTGCAGGATCTCCAGCTAGGAGACAAAGATGCCGGGAAGAGAAATCCCAAAGCTTTTGCAGTTCAGTCTGCTGTGTGGATGGCTCGATCACAGGTATGTTTAGCTACAGTCTGATGGTTCTTCCACTGATTCTTTTTAAATAGTAAGAGCCTCTCACAGGTGACATTTGGATTCACGAGTTTAGTCCCGCTCCAAAGGACCTGCAGATGCATATTGTGTGGCTTTCACTAAAATGTGAGAAGCTTTGCCATAGAAGCTGCCTTGCCTCCAGCATCTGCACACTGGTTGGTGTTTCTTGCCCAAGATACAAGAATTTATAGAATTTGTTTCTTTCTAAACTTTAAACTGTTTCTATGGTGATAAGTGTGCTTTTTCCCTCCGGATATGTTTTACAAAGTTGTAATATAAAATACAAAAATTACAGTATGTAATACTAACATAGCTTTATTTAGTGAGTCCTTGTGATATTCTTAGCAGTGTACTTTAAACGTTATTCAACTAAATCCTTCCAGCAGCCTCACCGAAGTAGGAATCATTCTTGCCCTCATTTTATGGACAAGAAAACTGAGGTCAAGAAAACGAGTTACCGCCAATCATATAACAAGTAAGTAGGAGAGCCAAATTTAACTCCAGAGCCTCTGCTCTTATCTGTTATGATGCACTATCTCAGTATTTACCTTTTGGTTTTTAAAAAACTATTAAAATCACTCATAAAATAGTCAGATTTAAGGACTATTTAATTTTCAACTCTATACTATTGAAGTCATCTTGTTACATCTTTATTGAACAGCAATTGATTTGGATGGGGGTCAGAAGTTAATAATTGACAAGTTACTTATATTTGTATATTGTCATATTCTCTATAAAATATACTAAAGTACTCATATCTGTAAGTATACTTTAAAAAGTTTACTTATAAGGTTGATACTTTTTACTCTATTTTGAAAGTGAGTTTATTTATTTATTTTTTTTAAATAAATAGGACTCAGGATTTGAAGACAAAAAAGCATCATATTCCAGTGGTTGATCGAACTCCACTAGAGCCCCCACCAATAGTGGCAGTGGTGACAGGGCCTCCAAAGTTGGAAAGAGCACTTTGATACAATGCCTCATTCGGAACTTCACCCTGCAGAAGTTGACCGAGATCAGAGGCCCTGTGATGATCGTGTCAGGTAGGAGATGCTGCTGCAGACACAGAGTTGGCGTGACTGTTGTCATCTGAGGGACATGCGTGTGTTTGTTGTTTTCTTGAGTGGAACATGTTATTTTCATATTATGTTACCTCTCTTATACTTTTACTAAGTTAGTTATAACTTCAGAAAAGGGTAAGTTCCCAGAGATAAGGATGTGATACATATCTTATCCTGACTGCTCTATGGCTTTGCCAAGCATGTTCCTTGGAGGGGCTTAGCAGGCCTGGTCACTGTGAACACATCATGTAACAGATAGAATGTACCTCCTATGTGCCAGGTGCACATGCTTGCCCTTATGAAACCACATGCTGGTGGAAGTGCACGTTTTCTCTTTTCCCTATGAGAATTTGTCTGCTTTGGGAGATGGTGACCTTTCCAAGTTTGAGGGAAGATGAAACAAACTTCCAGTGGTAGAATGGCAATGTACACTCTGAAATCTCTTGTTATTGCAGTAATATAGTTGGATTGAGGCTTTTCTTTATCTTTGGAGCATTTGCATTTTCTTTTCCTTTTTTTGAGACAGTGTCTTACTCTGTGGCACAGGCTGGAATGCAGTGGTGTGATTACAGCTCACTGCAGCCTCAACTTCCCAGGCTCAAGCTATCCTCCTAACTTAGCCTCCTGAGTAATGTATGCCACCATGCCTCACTAATTTTTCTTTTTTTTTCTTTCTTTTTTCTTTTTACGTTTTTGTAGAGATGGGGTTTCCCCATGTGGTCTAGGCTGGTGTTAAAACTGGGCTCAAGGGATCCACCTGTCCTGGTCTCCCAAGGTGCTGGGACTACAGGCGTGAGCCACTGTGCCCAGCCCATATTTTCTTGACCATTTTCTTACTACCTTAATTTAGAAATAATTATCATTATAAGTATTCTGTTGCATTATGTTTGAGGATGTTTTTAGCGATAGGGGGAATACGGGAAATTTTGATAGAGGTGAAGACATTGGCCCGCAGCTGAACAGCAGGATCATGGTTATCATGGAGCCTGTCGAGCCAGAATTTTCCCTGTTTGAGCACTTTTATTCACCTGGGTAGACTTTTGATATTATCTAAATTTAGAACACAGGGAAAAAAACAGGATGGAATTTATTTTATTTTACCAGTTTTTGCCTATAAAAATGAACTTCTGGTACACTCCTGTAAATGTATATGGTGTTTCACTGGATGCAATTAAAAAATGAAAATTAAGAGTTCATGGTTAGAATTTTTTCAGGGTCTTTTTAAAGTAAAATTTTCATCTTTTCACTTATAGGTAAAAAGCACAGACTCACCATTATTGAATGCGGGTGTGACATTAACATGATGGTTGATCTGGCTAAAGCAGCAGATCTGGTAAGTCAGCAGGGGTAGCCTGGGGTGCTGATGGATACTTACAGCGTTGTGTAGGTTATTTACCCTGTGATGAAGGGAAGAGAGTTTTATGATTATTAAAGGAATCATGGTCAATATCAGGGATACAGTAGATGTGACTGAATTGATGATGACGATAATAATAGTAATAAATGTTGTTATATTAATAATACAGATGGAATGTGCACAATGAAACGTATTCCAAAATCTAAAAGCAAATGACAGCATGGAGAAAACCTTTAATGAACACAGCTAATAAGAGCTCATTAACATGCATGCATATATACGTACAAATATATCATAGTAAGTACCATTTCTTCTTGGACCCTTTCTGGCACTGTGCTAACTGCTTTCTACAAATTTAGCTTACATAAACCCTTGATACACACTTGAGGTGAGTAGGTATTATCTGTAGTTTACATAAGATGAAATAGAGCCTCCCAGCAGTTAAGTAATTTGTGTAAAGATGGGACCCTTGTTCCTGATGGTTCTAGAACCTTCATCCTTAATGATAACGCTAAAGTAAGTACATGAATTGCCTGAAGAAGTGGTCAGAGTTTATCAATAGAAAATGTAGATAGTACTCAGTGTGTGGAAAATGTACACGCTCTTGCATTTATGGAAATGATAATGTTCACTATTTCTGATATTCTATTAACTGTCTTTTGAATTAGCAAAGATAAAATACAAATTAGCAAAAAAAAAAAAAAAAAAAAAAAAAAGGCCAGACACGGTGGGTCACACCTGTAATCCCAGCACTTTGGGAGACCGAAGTGGGCGGATCACCTGAAGTTAGGAGTTCGAGACCAGCCTGACCAACATGCAGAAATCCCATCTCTACCAAAAATATAAAATTAGCCAGATGAAGTGGTGCATGCCTGTAATCCCAGTTACTTAGGAGGCTGAGGCAGGAGAATTCCTTCAACCTAGGAGGCGGAGGTTGTGGTGAGCCGAGATCGCACCATTGCACTCCAGCCTGGGCAACAAGAGCGAAATTCTGTCTCAAAAACCTGGGCAACAAGAGCGAAATTCTGTCTCAAAAAAAAAAAAAAAAAAAGCCAAAAAAATAAGCCATATTGATTAGGAAGTGTGGGGTGACAGATACCTTGGTTTTTTCATTTTTATTTAGTTCTTTCTAGAGCTACAGATTTTATACTTTGGCCCAGGAAGACTCCTAAAATATAAAGGAAAAAGTAATACAGATTTTAAAGTTGTGCCATTTAATGTCAGAAAACTAAATATCATTCAAATTTTGAACATGTAATGCTACTATTAGTAAAAATAAGTGTAATTAATGTAAAGTTGTGTAAAGATTACCAAACCTTGTATACTTGAAAAGATTGAAACAGTTCATAGAAGTCATTTGTTTCTCTTTTATTTAAAATGTAGCAAGTTTCTAATTTTAAAGACATACATGTTAAGAGATGCCTTTACTTTTTTTATTTTTATTATTATGGATACATAATAGTTGTGCATATTTATAGGGGACATGTAGTATATTGATAGAAGCATACAATGTGTGATGATCAAATCAGGGTAATTCAGATATCCATCACTTCAAACATTTATAATTTCTTTGTGTTAGGAACATTTTAATTTCATTCTTTTAGTTATTCTGAATTATATAATAAATTATAGTCACCCTATTGTGCTGTTGGACACTACAATTTATTCTATATAACTGTATTTTTGTACCTGTTAACCTTTCCCTCTTTGTCCCTCCCTCCCTGCTCCCCTTCCCAGCCTCTTAACCATCATTGAGAGAGATGCCTATGTAAATCTTTTTCAGATTTTCAAAAGGAGCACACACATTTGGTAAAGCACTCTAACTAATGCAGGGTACACACAATGCGGTTTTCTCTTTCCTTGCCCTAACCGCTGGTCTCTCAGGGCCCTGCAGAGCAGTATCTTTCTAGATACATATAAACACACATGCCACCCTTTAAAAACACAAATGGTAGCTTATTTTACACACTCTTCTATGCTTTGTTTTTTTCATGTAATATATCTTGGAGGTATATAATCAGTAAGTACTGTAGCTCTGCCTCCTTCTTTTTAATATAATATTCCATTCTATGGATGCACCATAATTTATTTAGCCTGGCTTATGTTGATTGCTCTGCTCTGGGTTGTCAGAGACTCCTGACTACGGCAAAGGCACACACAGTACGTGGATTTGGGTGTGTACGTGCGTGTGTGGATTAGGGGAGTAACATTGGCTTAGATGACAAAGATTGACAGCTGAGGGACTGTTTGCTCCCTGTTCTTCCTGACCCTACAACCAGCTGCTTGCCCCTTGGCACTCTGTGGCATCAGATGTGGTGTGAGGATTTTCCACCTGTTCTTCGAGCTGGTCCAGTGTTGCTGGAGAGCTCTGCTTGCTGCCTCGGTCTGCAGTGGCTGTTGTGCTTTCCTGCAAGCCCAACTTCATATATTCTGTGGTTTTGGGTTTTGAATGTTTCCTAGTTTAATCAAAGGTGGGCATTTCTGTTTCCATTTTGTGTTATTTTCAGTTATCCATGGAAAGATAAGAACAGAACTATCTTTAATATTAAAACTAGAAGTTTCCAGGAATCAATTCTGAAATTATTTTGCATCTTTGAAGTGTCTTAAATTTTAAAAATTGGTCTTATCTGCTTGTATTTTCTTATAGACTACCATTCATCATAATATTACTGTTTTTTGACTTAATTCTAAACTGGTAGCTGTTTAAAAAAATTTCTAAGCAATTGAGTTATACAAATTAACATACAAGATAGAGGTGTACACTGCATACTTCCCAGCAAAAAACAGATGTGTGTGTGTGTGTGTGTGTGTGTGTGTGTATGTGTGTGAGGAGCTTGAAAGAAGAGGTTGGTTTTCTGTACCTATTTAATATATTTCATTGATTATCACTTTCTTCCCATTCTTTGGGTGTCAGAGACCTGTTATTTGGCTTAAAAATATATTATAGAAAACTTCATTTTTTAAAATTAGGATTTCTTAAGTAAGGACCAGGTTAGACCCAGCCTTTTCTGAGTTACTTCTCACGCATTAGAATTCTTAAAATGCAAGTTTATATCCTAGTGGGCATTGTCTTATGGTTGCCTTTTAGAGCAAGTCAGAGGGTGGTGGTTCCTCTGGGTGATGCCTGTGTAGTCATTAGATTTAGTCTGCAGTGGGACTTTTCTGTCGAGGGCCAGATAGTAAATATTTTCGGCTTTGTGGATCATGTCTTTTGCAGCTACTTAGCTCTGCAGTGGTAGTGCCCAGGCAGCCATAGACAATATGTAAATGAATTAATGTGGCTGTGTTCCAATAAAACTTTAGTTACAAACACAGGTGATGGGTGGATTTGGCCCGTGGGCCAGTTGCCAACCCCTAGTGTAGGTGGTCTGTTTTGGTAATTTCTTTGAGAAATGATGTGTTCTGCTTGTAGGTACCGATGCTTATAGATGCCAGCTTTGGGTCTGAAATGGAAACCTTTGAGTTTCTAAACATCTGTCAAGTACATGACTTTCCTAAAATTATGGGAGTTCTCACCCACCTCGACTCCTTCAAGCATAATAAGAAACGAAGACAAAGAAGCGATTAAAACACAGGTTCTGGACAGAAGTTTACCGGGTAGGAAGAGAAATAATTGTTAGACAGCAGCAGTATAATCCTTTTAAAACAGACTGAAGAGGCCAGGCACAGTGGCTCATGCCTGTAATCCCAGCACTTTGGGAGGCAGACTCGGGCGGATCACTTGAGGCCAGGAGTTTCGAGCTCAGGGCAATATGGCCAAACCCCGTCTCTACTAAAAATGCAAAAATTAGTTGGGTGTGGTGGTGCACGCCTGTAATTCCAGCTTCTTGGGAGGCTGAGACATGAGAATTGCTTGAAGCTTGGAGGCAGAGGGTGCAGTGAGCTGAGATTGTGCCACTGCACTCCAGCCTGGGTGACACAGTGAGACTCCGTCTCAAACAAACAAACAAAAAGACTGAGGAGATGTTGCTAAACATCTCTAGAATTTGCTTCCTGAATCCCCATTGTGTATGTGTTCACAGTCTCTGGAAGGTTTCCCTCAAGAGAGCGCTTATTCTGGGCCTCTTGGTGTATCTCATTTGTCTCTGTACCTGCTGCACCAGGCAGTGTCTGGGTGTTTGGGGGTGGGGACTTAATAGAGTACATCAGAAGTTTCTCCCAGTTACAGGACCAGGCACTGCCCCTTCCTTTCCATACTGCTCTGGTCCATGGGCCACAGAACCGTTTCTGTGCTCAGAGGCCTCACCTCCCTCTCCTCACCATACTTAGATGGATGCCCCTGCTCAGGTGCAGAGCAGTCTGCCTCTGTGGGGTTCTAATAAGTCCTGAAAGAAGCCAGCAAGGCTCTGGAAGCCTGAGGACAGTGGATTTGCTGGAAGTCTTTCTTAGGATTGCTTCTTTTTTAGAGCTTTTATTTTGTTGCAGTAGTGATGAGAATTTAATTGAAATTTAATTTTTAATTTTCCTTTAATGTTTAGGGTAACAAACTGTTCTACCTTTCTGGAATGGTGCATGGAGAATATCAAAACCAAGAAATGCACAATCTGGGCCATTTTATTACAGTTATGAAGTTTAGGCCTTTCACATGGCAAACTTCTCACCCTTATGTCCTGGCAGACAGGTAAAAAGTGATTGTAAACTTTTTCTTTCTGGGCCATATATTTCAAAGCTAAAAAGGCTAGAAAAAGAACAGTGATAGGATTTATTTTGTGCCTATTTGAATAGTCGGAGGTAGAAGTGTAGTTGATGGAAAATGTCTACTTATATCATTGCTCAAAGATGCTGTGCCTTTAGGAGTAAATTAACTATGAGAAGTTTAGGACAATGGGAGGACTTGGAAGCATTTAAGGCTACAGGATGTGGCCCCATCCTACGTTCATCCTCAGTTTTCAGTGATGCTGCCTTCGTGCCCGGGTGCTTGAGTCCTCGTGTGCGCCTTCAGTTTCCTTCCTTTGTGCTCTTCTTTGTGCTGTGGTTTTCTCAGCCTGGAATACCCTTTCTCCACCTGCCAGAATCCAAGCCACAGCACAAATGCCAGAGCACAGGCTCACCCTCTTCCAGAAAGGGGTTTTCTGAATGTGTTCTTCACTCCTCCCTGACCCCAGGTAGATGTCATCTCCCTGTCTGGTGTCTTCCGGAATGAATGTCACTTTCAGTCTAGAGACACAATTGTGTTCCTGCCCCTTTTCCGCTGCTGGATGGTGAATGGCGCTTCCTTATTTCTGCATTTTCTAGTTTTCTAAACGGCGTGCTTAGTGGACAAGAGTGTGATGAGTCACTGACACATGAAAGGAGGTAGAGGAACTTTTGGCATTGATCTCTGCTGTATGATTGAGTTTATTTTTCTAGGATGGAAGATTTGACAAACCCAGAGGATATCCGAACAAACATGAAATGTGACCGGCAGGTGTCACTTTATGGTTATTTAAGAGGAGCACACTTGAAAAATAAAAGCCAAATTCACATGGCAGGTATTCTCTTGTTGTAGAACATACTAGAATTACACATAGGATTCTTGGGATGACTTCATTCCTCAGGAAAACTGAAAAATGACCATATAAGGGAAGATGGCCTTGCTGGAGGTTTTAAAAGTAAGCCAGCTGTGTGTAGGCCTGCAAAGGTGTTACCGAATCCCCTCTTCTCTGACCTCTTGTCTTGTAGCTAGAGGGACACTGTTCCCTTGTGACATGATGCCCTTCTTTAGGGTCATGGGTTAAGCCCTTGGAATGTGGATCGTTGTTAACCCCCAAGTCAACAGTAGATACTTACTTCCTGTCAGCTGAAGCTTGCTTTTTGGGTCCTGTCTTCCAGGAATAGAAGATTTTGCCATGCATGACATCAGTTTCCTCCCAGACCCTTGCACTCTTCCTGAACAATGAAAGAAGCGCTGTTTAAATAATAAGGAGAAGTTGGTTTATGCGCCTCTTTCTGGAGTTGGGCGTGTGCTGTATGACAAAGACGCTGTCTATGTTGACCTTGGTGGCAGCCACGGTTTTCAGGCATCGGTGAGACGGGGGTCATTGCTCTGAACTCTCATTATTCTTTCCGAGTCTATTTTTTAATCAAAAAAAGTAATGTACTCAGCTTTTATTTATTGAAGATTTTTCTCTTGTACTTATAATAAAGGCCCAAATGCATATTGTAAATATGTAGAATAAAAAGAATACCTTTTTTTCATTATACCAAGCAGAAGCGTCCTGTCCTCCATTCCTCCTTGATCCGTGGCCCCGGCGCGGGCCCTGCTGCCAGTGTGGCACCTGCATGGCTTATCTCCATTTCTACAAAACCAGTGTGCTCGCCAACTCTCGTTGGTCTTTTTCTTTTTCTCATTCACAGTGGTCTCCTCGTTCTTTATTTTAAAGCGGATTTCCAATATTTATTTCTTAGTTCTCAAGTGGAATTTTATTGGGTTAAAATCAGGGCTATTTAAAAATGTTAGAAAAGCTAGCGTTGTTGTAGCACTGGAACTGAGGTTTTTCTAGCTAGGTGTTTAGGTTATCAGGTTGTATACTCACTGAGCTTTGGCAAAGTTTAATGGAGATGGGGATCCATTTCAAACTTTGTTGTAAGGATTTTCTTCTCTGGTTTTTGAGGCCTTAGGAAAGGTTCTCAGGAAATATGTCTCAGATAATTTTGAAAACTGAGTGAAACCAGTGTCTCTCCAGGATCTCTGTGCTTTCCTCATGTGCCCTTTCTTGGTGGTCTTTACAGGACGAGGTGGGGCCCACCCATGAGCTGGTCCAGAGTCTCATCTCCACCCACTCCACCATTGATGCCAAGATGACTTCAAGTCGGGTGATGCTGTTTTCTGATTCCAAGCCACTTGGGTCAGAGGCTATAGATAATCAAGGGGAAGTCTGCTTTTTTTCCATTTTTAATGAAAAGATATACTACAGAAGACCATATCACCTGTAATTCTGCCATTATAACACATTTTGGTGGGATTCATTCTATGTTGTTTTGTTTTTCTTTGTGTATGCATGTGTCTCTGAGGGCTCTTCACTTACCTGACATTACGAGGGAGTCTTTTCTAGAAATAAAATACAGGATGCATTTTTCAACAGACCCAAATGTTCCTTAAATACCACGCCATCTTCCATAGGTTGCTTTTTTGTTTTTTAAGAGACCTGAGGCCACTTGGCTTTCTTTTGGTGGCCAAAACACTAGAGGAGAGTCAGGGAGTTTGTGGCTCTCCAGAAGCTGCATGCCTTGTCTCTGAAAGTTTTATTTAGATTATGTTGTATTATCTCCCATGGGTAAGTTTCCACTGATGTATGGCTTATGTGAATTATTTTTTAGCCTGGGTTAAGAATTTGTATACCTTTATGCTTAGTGGATGTTTGCAAAACATTGATTTTGTTGTATTGATTTATGATTCCCAGTAAAATTTATCTGATAATTTTGAGATAATCTAGTATGTAATTTGTTACAATGTGCATAAACTACCTACCGCAGTGCCTAAGATAACGAGTGTTATTAGCTATTTTCATTTTTGCATATCCTTCTAGTTATCCTTGTATACAAGAATATTCTCTTCTAATATAGTTACAGGTAAAATACATAATTTTATTTTTATATTCTGAGCATTGTTTTTTTTCTATACAGTCTTTATGTAGTCATGATTTTGTTGTTACTGGTGTTTTTTTGTTATTGTGGTTTCTTTGTTTTTGTTTTTATTTTGAGATAAGGTCTCACTTTGTCTCCCAGGCTGGAGTGCAGTGGCATGATCTTGGCTCACTGCAGCCTTGAACTCCCAGGCCCAAGTGATCCTCCTGCTTCAGCCCCACAAGTACCTGGGATTGCAAGAGTACACCACCACTCCAAGCTAACTTTTTTTGTTTTGTTCTAGGGACGAGTTCTCATTATGTTGCCTAGGCTGGTCTCGAACTCCTAGGTTCAAGCAATCCTCCCGCCTTGGCCTCCCACAATCCTGGGATTACAGATGTGAGCCACTATGCCTGGCCTATTATTCCTGTATTCTAACTTATCCATCTCTTATGGTATAATTTTTAGTTTTTTCTAATTTATGTTTTCATATTTTCATCTATTGTGCTTCGCATAGTTTTCTTTCATCCAGTGATTTTAGCCTCCTTATGATCTCTATCAGTTATGGCACTGGTGACTTAAACTGGATGTTCTTCCTCTGTCATTCCTCCTACATTTGTTAGCTGGAATTTTTAGCAAAGAGCTTTCAGTTCTTCCCTTTATTTTGGTATCACTGCTGACTAATGCACTTGCGTTTTATTCCATGGGTTATTTTCCATCACTGTCATTGTTCTTTCTGATGCCTATGGTGTCCCAGATTCGGCCACGGGAGCCTTCAGCCTGTCTCCTGTGCCCTTTCAACTGTCTCTGTTAGTCTTTGAGCATTTCTTCCTTTCTGACAGAATAAGAGGATCCAGGCTCATGTTGCCCTCTTTCTACCTTGGGCCTGGACTCAGCCATTTCTCTTAAGGATCATGTGTTTTTAGCTTAGAAATTAATCAGCTTTCCAAAAGATCTACAAAACACTAACTTCCCTGTTCAGCAATTTTTTTCTAAAATTAGATTTTTTTTAAAGGATTATTCCTTTATTCTCTCTGTAAGTTCTTTTGAAGTGTGGTGTTAGGGAACCATGCCTGAGTTTGCTTATTAACTCTTCCAGTGTTTATCAGATCATTTTTTCACTATGCTATGTCATCTTAAACATCTTAAACAATTCCTTGACGTTTTCTGTTTCTTTGTATTTTCATTGACTATATTGCCATTTCTAGATGAGCTGATCAATGTACAAATTGAATTATTTTGCGTTTCCTTGGTAATATAGGCTGTTGATGCCAAAGGAGGAAAAACAAATGGACTTGAAAACTGGTTGAATGTGTCGGAAAGCCATTTTGGGAGATGATTCTGTGCTAACATCCTCTCTCCTTTCTTGGTCTCTTAATTTTTTTTTCTTACCCAGGTATATATATACAGGTTGATTTTGTCTTTCTAGAAGATCCAAGATCTTGGGTTTAGAGATATGTTCTCTTAATGTTAATTGGTATTAGAATACTCTTTTCTGTATTTTATTTCAACACATTTTAAGAATAGAAATGATTGTATTTTCTTTTAACTTGTGAAGTAGAGCATGGCATACAAATGTTGTATTCTCAGTATTTCAAAAACTTTCCTTCTTACTGTACAAGTTGTATTCAGCATATAAAGTCCATCCAGCTTTGTTGTAGATGCAATGTGATTATTACATGTTGATAAGGTATGAATTGGAGGTGGGATCCAAAATTATTGTACTTATTGTAATTTTTAAGCTAATTGTAGGTTTGGTGGTGAATATTTTGCTTCTGCAAAATGCAAACAGCATTTCATCAGAAGTTGTCTTATGGTCTTTCAGACATTTTGTTGTATATCTTTGGTGCTTTTTGCCCATGAAGTATCTCTTTTGTGTGTGTGTGTGTGTGTATTGATCTGCCTCGAAATTTCACAGCGCTCATTGTCACGAATCAGCAGAATCAGGCCTAGGCAGAGAGCTGAGCAGTACTCTCAGTATGTCTCTGTGTCCTGGTTGCCACATTATCTCTGTTGTTTATTAATAAATTGGAGAACTCTCTGACCTGTAACAAAGGTTGAATAGATCAGAGACAATTGGAAGAGGAATCCTCTACTCTATTGTTACCTCTTCTTTTTCTATTCACACATGTCAGATAGAGACATGCGTGTGGTAAATTATTTTGTCAGAATGAAAGCCTGGCCGAAAGAAAATGCTTTCTTCCTACCGTACTTAATGTCGATCTCTTGTTCATTTCTTGGTAATATATTTGGTTACTTATGTTTTCATTGCTTTTAGTGTCAGAGATGGCTTTGAATTCCCAGTTCTGTGTGTTCCTGTCTAGCTCCCGAACCCAGCTGGAGAGGTGTGTCAGTCCCAACTGGTGAAATACTGAGAGGAAGCTACACAAAAGGCAGCAAGGTGTTAATAAGTGTACCTCTGACATTTCAGCCACCTCTGACTTTTCCATGGAATGAATAAGTAGTAGTCTCTGTCAGAACTACATTTTAAAGAAAAAAAAGAAACTTGAAGTCATAAACTGTTTATTAATTTATGCTGTTATTTTTGTGTTTACTCAACTCATTTATATTGACTTGTAAATTAGCAATTTATGAACTACTATTTAGCAATTCATTGCCTACATGTCAGCAAACAAATTTTGTTCTTAATAAAGAATCTAGTGACTGGGCACAATGGTTCATACCTGTAATCTCAGCACATTGGGAGGGCAAGGCAGGAGTTCATTCCTTGAGGCCAGGAGTTCAAGACCAGCCTGGGCAACATAGCAAGATTTCATCTCTACAAAAAAAACAAAACATTGGCTGGGCATGGTGCCTCATTCTTATAGTTCAGGCCACTCAGGAGCCTCAGGTAGGAGGATCATGTGAACCCAGGAGTCTGAGGCTGCAGTGAGCTACGATCCTAACACTGCTCTCCAGCCTGAGTGACAACCAAGACACCATCTCTTCAAAAAAGGAATCTAGGGGCATCAGTGTGTGCACACAGCATGGCTTGTGAATGCGGAAGTGCACGTGTGCATAGTTGTGCTCAAGAATGTGTTGATGATTATACCTTCTCAGAATGAAGGTAACTTTTTTTTTTTTTTTTTTTTTTTTTTTTTTTGAGAGGGAATCTCACTCTGTCGTCCAGGCTAGAGTGCTGTGGCACAATCTTGGCTCACTGCAACCTCCGCCTCCCGGATTCAAGCAATTCTCCTGCCTCAGCCTCCCAAGTAGCTGGGATTACAGATGCCCACTACCACGCCCGGCTAATTTTTGTGTTTTTTTTTCAGTAGAGACGAGGTTTCACTATGTAGGTGAAGCTGGTCTCGAACTCCTGACCTCAAATGATCTGCCCACCTCGGCCCCCCAAAGTGGTGGGATTACAGGCATGAGCCACTGCGCCCAGCCTGTTTATTCTCTAAGAGGGAAAATGAGGGGATTAATGGACTGTGGTTCTGGACAAGGTGGAAAACTCTTAAAGTGGAAGTACTGGGGTAAGTGCTGTGACAGGCTAGGATGGTGCAGTCAGTCCCTTCACCCAGAAATCAGTAGAATGTTAGCAGTTCAGACTCAAACCTTGTGAAAAACAGGTGGTGGAAAGGAAGTCCCTCGCAGCAACTGGCGCCATAATCAAGACAGAATGTTTGCAGAATAAATGGAGTTACCTGCTTTCAGCCCCAGGTGGTAGCTATTGTCTGCCCTGACAATAGGTGATATTAATTTGTGATCCTGTTGTCTTAAAATGGGGTCACACATCTCCAGTAGAAATAAGTCCACAGTGAAGTTGTCCCCTCATCCCCAAAGAGATAAACATATATGAATGAACTGAAGTGATAAGATAACAAGTACTGCTGCCTGGGATCATGAGAGACCTGAAATGAACTGATAGGAAGTGAAAGGTGGCTGAGATAATGAGAATAGACCCATCTGCAGAGGATCATAAAAGCAGCAAAGACAAGGTCTCGTCTAAGATGCCTTCAGAAGCTTTGTCCATGAGAACTCTAAGGACTTCTCCAGACCTGGTGGCTGCTGCTGTGATCTCTGCCCAAAAGGAGCCTCTGACCAGCATCCAAAGGGCTTCTGGACCCACTGGACTCTTCTGGAGGTACACTGGTCTCCCGAGCCATGGCTGTGGCTTTTTACTCCCTTTATCACTGTCTGTGTGTAGAATGATAATTGCATAATCAATAGTGTGAAGACCTCTTGATAAATGGTAAATCTGAACATCTGTATTTGGCTGACGTGTCATTGTGAAACCTCACAGCTTCAGTCAGTGTCAGCACAGCTAGGGAGTTTGTACTTAATGCACATATCACTGGGCATAGTCTAGAGGCACCTAATAACTCAGGTACCTTAACAGTCACTAATGAGTGTATCTCCAAGGAACAGTCCAACAACACATGACTGACCTGACTCAAGGTAACTATGTGTCCAATCCAGGGTCATAGTGAGTGGGCATCTGCCAACCAGGGGTCATTCCCCCTGCCTGCCATTGAGCAGTTCAGAAGTGACTGGTGTAAGCAGACATAAGGGATCTTGCTCAATTCACTATTTGCCTCTTTGGAGGGGATCATACCCAGGACCTAGGTCATTGTGCCTTATCGGAGTCTTACACATTTCACTTGCAAATTATATTTGAAAATTAAATGACCATGTTGCAAGTCATTCACAAGACATTTTTTAAAATTGCATTCCAGAACCCATATTAACATCCAGTGACCTGTAGAAAGCAGTAGAGAAATATATTAGGCAAAAAGTTCTGGCAAAGACCAGTCTGATACTGGCCTGATTATCCAACCTCAGGAATTGGCCACATCAACTCGAAGAGCGAAGAAAAATAAAAAATACCAGATTTATTACTCAAGACATTAGGAACTGTCCATTTAGATAGATGATTTTAGCTAATAAAATATTACAATGTCATCCTGAAGAATATGTCCCTCTTCCAGAGAACCCAGGAGGTTATCATGGCCCCTGGAAAGCCTGACCAGCAGTAACAGTGCAAGTTACATAGGTGCATGAGTGCAGAAATACAATCTCTACTGCAAGTAAGTTTCATACTAGGCAAGAATTACAGGATATACATAGAACTTTTGCTCACAAAGTCAAATCAGATGTACAAATTCAATATGGTTTAGGAGTTAATGGTGGTTCAATTCATCATGCTTATGAGAAGTGAAGTAGGACAAATGACTGTAATAGCAAATAACTCCAGGATTAATGATGAATTAATTGCTAGAGCAGAAAATATCCAAAACCTTCCTGACTTATGGTGGGGATGGGTAAAGAAGTTGGATGAGACGATACCCAAACATGATTCCCAGGTTTACCTAAGCAATGGAAGACTGTAAAAGATGCCATTAAGATATCTCAAGAATATGGAAGATTATTACTTGCTTCTCATGGGAAAGGACTTTATAGGGCACCTGAAAAAATTCCCATGCAAAATCACTTTTACAAAATGTCAAGTTATGATGTCCAAGATGAAACCAATAAGTCACAACATTCACATAATATACTATGCAACCCTGATCTCCTGTCATAAAATGTTTCTTACCTCTAAACCAAAGTTTCATTTTATGATTTAATTTTTCTCATTTTTTCTGTTTTCTTAGCTTAGGAAAAGATCATTACAAACTTTTTGTATGTTTTTCATATATGCTTGCAAAGAATTGTAAAACTTTGTTGTGATTATTTTTCCTTTAAGCTGAAACTTCCCTAATCTTTCTTTAGAGATTGTGGCATAGCATGCTAGTTTCCTTTCCATATGCATTTGTTTTCTGTAATGAATACAGAAATAAAGGCACTATTTTGTAACTTTAAACAGACATTATCTCAAGTCTACAAGAATTATCCAAAATGGTATCTAATGACATTTCTAGGTCTTCAGACACTTAACACAGATTGTAGCCTCTAGGTCTTGAAGATTTTACTAGATATTGGTTACTGAAACTGAGCTTTCTTGAATTATTTTTCCTTCCACTGTGGTTTCCTGCATTTCAACATATCACCGAGTTTTGTCCTCAAACATTACTTAAATATTTTCCACAGAATTAAATTAAATATGAATCATCCCTCCTTCTCTGATTTTTGAAACGACCCGTTGTTTCCATTAATAATGATTCTTCTGGTCCGTTTTGTAGTTATATGTTAGAGTTTGTAAATATTCACACATTTTGCAATTGCATATGATTTTCTTATTTTTTCCTCTTCCTCTAAAGTTGCTGTTATTTCTTTTAACTTTTTGTGGGAAAAATTAAATCCATCTTTCACTTTGTTGATATGCTTATTTATAATTCAACTCCTTGATTTTTGCTCAAATTGCTTTTCAAATTACCCACTTTTAGGGAAGGTATTTTTTGGGTTTTGTTTAGTGTGTCAGGCTTTTTTTAATTAGTTGTATCAAGAAGTGTAGACTTTTCTATACATAATATTCTTTTTCCCACAGTAGTTTTGTTTTGTTTTGCTTTTTTGAGATGGAGTCTCGCTCTGTTCCCCAGGCTGGAGTGCAGTGGCGCATCTCAGCTCACTGCAAGCTCAACCTCCTGGGTTCACACCATTCTCCTGCCTCAGCCTCCCAAGTAGCTGGGACTACAGGCGCCCACCACCACGCCTGGCTAATTTTTTTGTATTTTTAGTAGAGATAGGGTTTCACCATGTTAGCCAGGATATTCTCAA